CTGCCATAAAGGATGTTGGCATTCCATAAGAGGAATTTCTGGTTCTATTACCATCGAAACCGGGTGGTCTAGTTAGTGGAGTGGCGAAATGAGATTGTGTCCCTGATGGTGGAACGAATCCCCAGGATAACCAACGGTTCCAGTATTTCCTAAGATCGAACTGTTAGTTGATATGCCACTTACTCCATTGGTGGCTATATTACTGGTTGAAGATGCGACAGACTGTGCATTCGAAGGGATCACATTAGATGTTCCCATCGAAGTGGACACATTAGTGCCTGTTGTATATGGGGCATTTTGTTCCCCTTGTTGATTGTCAGAATTAGACATCTTGTTCCAACGTTTTCTTCAGGATAAGGTTTGGTTGCTGTTGGTTATCTTACCACTTCTTAGATTCATAAAACAACAAACTTCTTAGGTTTCAACGTTTTTATAATGGTTATGTCTCAACAATCTTTATTTCTAATGTCCAATTATTGGTCCCACTGGGCGTGCCAATTTGTTTCCAGTGATTTCTGGTAAACAACCGCTAGTCTTCCAAACTATCGAATAAACTTACTAACTGTTATTCAATTTCTCTGGTAACTCGCAGGATCGACTAGATTGATCCTAGGACTCATTGGTCATTAGGGTAACTCTCATGATCGAACAGATATTCATGGTTGGTATTTGAGTGTTGTGTAGGTGTTTGACTTATTTCGATTTCTCTCTTAAAGATCTAAAGGTGTAATCAAAATATATGTGCGCGAAACTAAATTGCATGAATAAATGTTAATTGTAAAGACATGTAAAATTGCATAAAAAGCAAGTAAATGGCTTCGAATTATAAAAACAGTTAATGTGAAAGATGCTCTGGAATGTAAAAGATTCGAAATATGAAGAAAGCGTTTAATGCAAGAAATCTGTAAAATGACTTTAAGTAAAAATAGGCGTTCAAAAGATAAAACTTGAAGATAAAGGCATGAAAAGTATGACAGTTTTCTGAAATGTAAAGTGCTTGAAAAGTAAAGAAAGCATTAAAATGTGAGGCTTCAATGAAAAGATTTCGAATAAAAAGACTTTAAATGAGAAAAATTGTAAATGGTATTTGGCAGAAAGATAAAGGAAAGTACTGGAAATGATAAAAGGTTTTCATTAAATCATAAACATGTGGTGCTATCATACGTACATTGCTCTTGCATTCGTTTCCCTAGCCATGTGGTAATTTGAATGTTTACTGAGTATTTAGTACAATAGATATGACACACGAAATCCTAATACTAAGACTTCTATTTATACTACTTCGACCATAACGGTCTTGCTATAAGATTATGCCACGTTCAGAACATGCAGAACAATGCCTCTCTATTGTTTCCACGTGTCTCCAAATTCTCCAGCACATAAATTTCAAACTTCGAATGTCCTGCTTGCATTTGAATTTCAAATGTTTTGGTACTTCTCCGCTTCGAACGCACTTCTCAGACGCAGCCTTGTTGTCATTTCGAGACTTCTTTAGATACGTTCCCATAATTGCCACTCGAAGCTCCAAGCTTTGATATGCTTATTCGAAACACTGCTTCTGCTACTTCGAAACATGACGCTTTGTTTCATTTCGATTGAAACGTTCAATTTACTTGGCTTCTAATAATATTATCAAAATCTTCAGCCAACAAGGTCAGGCCATACTTTTTTTAATCAGAACAGACTTAGGCTTTTTATAACCCTATTTAGTTAAAAAGGTTAGGCCACATGCCATATAAAAGGTCTTTTCAACCTATCAAGCCGACATATTTAAATAAACATGAATACATTTATTATTGTTATATTGTATTTTATACTTTGAATTAAAATAACAAAATAAAACATAATTATCTTAAAGAAATTCTGAAAATAAGTTGAAAAACACTTATGAAGAATGTTATAAATTGTTATCATAAGTTGTTTCAATATGTTCTCTCAAACAAATAGTATCACAAAACTTATACTAATAGATAAATTCAAACGAGTTAACGAAAACAAACAATTATGCTCATTGATCTTTTAATTTATTAGTTTATTTAACATTAGTTAAATTACTTATTTACAAACATTCAAATAAAATAGATTTTTAAGTGCGCCAGTAAGTCAATCAGGTTTTCCAAAAAGGTTAGACTCATAGTTAAAAAAAATCTATAATAAACTAAAGATCAAACTTAAACTTTAAATGTTTTAACAAAACAGGTTCAAACGTTACAAAACCTAATTTGACCCCGTCTATTCAACCCTTATCTATATTTATATTATATAAAAAATTTAAGTATTCTTTTAATCAATTTATGGTTTTACATTCCAAAGTTTGCAATATACTTTTGGTGCAATACTCTATGAGGTCCTTTGAGATCTTAATTTAGTGGTGAGGATGTTGATTGGTTGATGGTTGTCAAGGTAAGACGATGGTGGCGGAAAACGGTTGAAGACCTTGGGACGATGAAGGTTGGGTTCAATTATATATATATATATATATATATATATATATATATATATATATATATATATATATATATATATATATATATATATATATATATATATATATATATATATATATATATATATATATATATATATATATATATATATATATATATATATATATATATATATAAGCTAATTGAAAGCACACACTTTAGTCTGAGTAATTGATAGAGAGCATAGATGATAATAGATAAAAAAGTAGGAGCTTTTTGTTATTGTGACTTGGGCACCACCGCCATCTTGTGGTTATCCATGCAACATCACAAATTTTGGGACCATTTACTTTTTTAAAACCGTTATACCACAAATTTTACCCCTAATATCCCTCATCATACTTTGTACATTTTGCACATAGCATTGGTCTCATGGTTTTTAAGATCGAAGAGCTTTGATATTAGGGTTTCTCTCTATGAATTGAGTTTGCTATCTTACTCAAAATTGATTCAACTGGTGCTCTCATTTTTCTTGGTATGACATTAGGGTTTTGGATCTCAAGCAGCATCGATGCCTTCGCTATCAGGTTTCCTCGAGATACAAATTTTTCTTCATCAAGGTTCTTTCGAGGAATTAGGGTTGTTTTATGGCTTTAAGGCTCTTATCTTCGCACGAGCTTGTTTCAGTTGATTTCTCCATCAATCATTTGTTCGAACTAGGATTTTATTTCCTGGACTTCTTTATCATCAAACTACAGGGATATTCTCTCTCCTCAGCATCAAGTTGCAATCTTTCTTCAATGCTTAAGAATTAGGGTTTTCTTCTGTTATGCTTCAACTGGGGATCATTGGATTATGGCTCGATCTTGTGGTTATCTTGAGCTTATCCTTCTTCAACATTGTGGACTTGTTTTGAATGATACAGTTTTTGCTTCTCATCAAATACTTGTTACTTCAATTGCAAGTTAACTTGGACTACTGAGAGAAATGACTATTGACTTGGATTCGTTGAAACTTCTAATCGTGCTCAGAGTTAATATTGATTCAAGGTCTTATTAAGTTCATGACTTTGTTAATGGTTGATTCAAGATAGGGTCGGGAGATTCATTCATATGGCTTCAAGGAAGATTCATTCATTTAAGTATTATTCAAAGAGGATCTAAAATACGAATTCGAGATTAATCAAATCATCAATCCAAAAATGTCAAGATTCATTAAAAAAGAATCAATAGTTCAAGGAAGAAATCAATATCATATTTCTAAATAAACCACTTAGTGCATCACTTTGGATATTTTACTCGCGCAATAGTCATCATTCAAGAGGGAGTCACATTCAGAACTTAAAGCGTGCACAAAATGGAGGAAATGGTAAAGGGACTTTATTTCTTAAATTTACAAGTCAACATGCAAAATACAAAAGTCCAGACATGTTAGGGGAGTGCATTACAAGGAGCAAAACGAGAAAGATACAAGGGAAGTACAATTCCTTTACATAGTTAACCATTGTCCCTAATTTGGATCGGAACTTTTAAACCTATAATACTCCAAGCCATTCATTTCAAACTTCATTTTCAATTATCCTTAAGGGTGCTTCTGGATCACTTCAAAGTTCTTTCTTTCATGGATAAAGAAGTTATGGCTTCATCATTATTCCAATACAACCTCCTTTAATCTTTCCAACATAAGTCTTTAAAATCCAAACCTGTTTCAAAATCAGACCTGCATAGAAATATAACGTAGCTGGCGTTAACAAAATTCTGAGCAGAACCTCTAACTGAATCAAAAAACTGACAACTAAACAGAATTACTAACTCCTAATTGTCAAACTAACCTGCAACTAACTTCTAACTACTTCTCAACAGAAAAAGGAGAATGGAGGGACAAAATAACAGAACTTCAGATTGAGATAAAAGGGATTCACGATCATTCATACAGGGAGAGAAAAAAAGACAAAAACTTACCACAAAACTCTCTGAAATTCTCTCTTGGTCCATGATCATTTTTTATTCACCAAAATTTCTGAATCACCATCTTCAGATTTTCTGAACCTTTCTTCATCCTTCCACAATTCTTCACCATATGCAGAATCACACAAGTTCCCTCTTCTCTATGCTTCTAAGTCTTTAGATTTCTTCTACAAGATTCTACCATATCATCCTCATCTTTTACTCCAGAATCTGCATCGGTTCCTCAATCATCTTCAAGCTTTGCACACCAGTCACTGCATCAACTTCATCTTCCAAAACTCACCATAGAAATCATCATCTTCATCTTTTTGCTTTCTGCTTCAGTCATCATTAACGTCATTACTGAGTTCAGTCAATCTACATTTGTTCAGAACTTCATCACCATCGCGTCAATTCGTCCATAACCTAAAGCTCCCTTCAATCTAATGCAACATAAGTTCTTCAATCCTCTGAAGAATCACCCTCAGAAAAAACCATAAACTTCACTCTTCATTCTCTCTTCAGCCTTCATCCTCCCCAAAGCTCGCAACATCATAATTGCTACAATACGGTAAAGCAACGTAAACACGAGCAGAAAAGTTAGATGTAGAAGAAGAATAAGAAGAGATCAAACAAATACGAAAGATGAGGAAAAGCAAGAATGCAGAGAAAAAAAGGGAATGGGAAGAGTAGAGCTAACTACAGACTCAGAGCGCTCCCTGGAGTTTGACATCGACGCTGCTGTTGAAGTAAGTTTTTCACCCTCTTCTTGATACTGACATGTAGTTCTCATTCCCCCAGGCTCTTCTCCCATGGTTTTAGCTTGAATGAGGTAATCTGTGCCGTTTAATTGAAGCTTCCAGACTGCTAGGGTTTCTGATTTAGACTGACATCGCAATATATTGGAAGAATCTGAAGCTACGTTCATATGCGGGATTTAATATGGATGAGGATTCCAGGGTCAAAATGACGGTGGCAGATCATTGATATTCGCCGGAGAATGAGGTGCGTTGTTCGCCAAGGAGAAGGAAGAAGAAGATGAATAGTCACACAAAAAACCCTATCTCTTTACTAAATGTTGTTTCATCAGTTTTCTCTTATCATTTTTTCCTTTTTTCTATTTTGATTAATAGAAATTAGACAAAAATATGATGGCATGTGGGAATTGGAATGATGGACTCATGTGCATGGGCCTGGGACAATGTCTATATGCAAAACCCTATATGCCCACATCACCTTTTTTTTATAGCCTGATACAAGTGAACAAAAATTGGCTTATTGGACATTTTAGATTGGGCCCTAGCACCTGATTACTAGCTTACACTATCTGAAATTAGTTTCCACCCCCTGGTTCTCATATATTCTTTTATTGGATTTAGGATTTTATTTTATATTTTTTTCTATATATATTTTTTTATGTTAAAAAAATTGTAAAATCAATATAAAATTTGTTAGATTTTTCTATTTAGTTTTAGGAATTAAATTTTGATTACCTGATTACTTGGTATTTGTAACTCACCTTTGCTTGTTGAGATTTGAGTCTTGTGATGGGTTGTTGTGCGATATGTCGATATGCTTGAGATTTCGATTGTGATTTATTTTCACATCGATGGTGCTTTGACGCTTATCTCGAGCGTTTGACTTCAAACTCTTTTCTTTGGTTGGTGAAGCTTTCGCGAAGATCACCGGGTTTCTTTGTTTTGATAGGCTTTGCTACAGATTGATATCCGTTTGGTATTTTCCCTTGTTTATCTCATTTCAGTACTTTACTGTTTTTTAGATATCATGAGAAGTAGGAAATAAAGAGCATGCGCTCGAAGTAGCTGTTTAAAGACCTGTAGCAGGTATTCCGCACTTCATTTACTATATATGTTGTGCTTGTGTTTGTTTAATTTCTTCTTGATCGATGAGTCACTCAATTTAGAAATTGAGATCACGACTTCGCTCTCAGTGCATGCTCCCTATAGGGTTTTATCGCTTTCCTTTATTTCTTGTTGATCGATGAGTCACTCAATTTAGAAATTGAGATCACGACTTCGCTCTCAGTGCATATCCCATATAGGATAGTTTGTTAGACTTTCTTTGGAATTCTAACTCATATAGGATCTCTCATTTTATGATATCATTATATTAGAGATAGGTTAGTCTCCCTTGAATGTTTTCTTCCCATTTTTTTGCATAACCGCATTTAAAACTAAATTTTTTTTTTCTTGGCAAATGTATAAAAAATGCTAAGCATATAAAAAATTCTTTTCATGGTAAAAAATACCAACCAATCCATTTCTTTTCGCCATTCGAATTTTCTCTTATAAGAACATGTTAGCTCCTTTCCACTATAGGTTATAAGTCTCTAAAGATCGAGCAACGGTGGAATGATCGAATGCAACATTGTTCATTAAAAAAATACCAACAAAGAAAATATATGAGCCAAAGCGAGTACAAATTTAATTTCCCTACATTCTTTCTCCTTTCTTTGCATGCATTCCCTCTTAGTTTATCACTCTTAAGCATTAGATTAAACACACCCTTTGATTAGAACAACGCGAGTGGATCCCGTAGAGTACTTTGGACGTGTGGGGTGCTAATACCTTCCCCTCGCATAATCGAATCCCTTACCCAATCTCTCGGTCGCAAGACCTTGACTTCCCCCTTTAGGTTTTTCTTCGATGATTTTCCTTTCCCTTTCATATGGGATAAATAAATACTCGGTGGCGACTTCATTAATTTTACTGCTACAGAAAAATGGCGACTTCACCGGGGAAGACATGTCGACCAATTGCTGGTCCATCCTGTGAGTCACTCCTAGCTCCCGTTTTTCTTTTCTTAGGGTGTTTATCATCATGATTTTATGGATTATTCATTTGTATATGTTTGAGCATATGTTTGCATTGCATCTTTATCGTTATTTGTCATATTGTTGTTGTGCTGGTTTCTCTGTTTCTTGATGGGTGGGATGTTACTATGATGTAAAAGGCCCAATACCCAGGCCAAGTGGAAACCACATGAACACTAGGAATAGAGTGGAACATGAACGACTAGTTGACTTAGGTTTCACTATGCTGCCATGTCGTCCACCCTCATATGAGGTACAAATGAGGGGCTATCATTTTCACGTAGGTGATATGGCGATAGTTTTTCAGGAGTACCCTCGATTCTGAGTTACCATTGACCTTACCATGACCTAGTCTTTACCCGTGAGTGGGGAGGGAATAATCTTTACAGGTACGGATGGTGACTATACACGTTTCGTTGGTGACTCTGATTATACTGATGACTTTGATCCTTGGTATTCTGAATTGGTTCGGACCTTTAATCTTATTACATATGACAGTGGTTCTGTTATCAGTTCAGCAGCTATCCAGCATGGCAGAAGCTTTGATCCCGCATGTTTGCATACATAACATATTAATGTAATCATCATCATACATGTTCTCTGTTTCCAAACATCATTTCTTTGATTCCAGTTGTTAAGTAAAAAAAACATTGAAAAAAATATAATAAATACAAAGAATATATATATAATGATATAGTGGCTTAGTAACAGGAATCAAAGCATAGAAACTTTTGGAAAAAAAATATGGCATTTGTATTGCATGTCATGCAGCATGTTACGTTTGACTATGCATTTAATGAGTTCCACAGAAGTCTTACCCAAGGTCATTTGGTCTTCAGAATCAAGCTGTCTCATTAGTACAACACTCGTGCTAAGGGAAGATGGAAAGCATTAAGCAAGAGATCTTTGAACTCCGCAAAGAGGTAACTACTTTGAAGGCTGATATGGAATATCTAACTGATTTGGTTTCCTCCCAAGCCAATCCTTCTAGGAAGGAAGAAGAGATGGGAAAAGTCTTCACAAAAACTCTGAAATCATTCTTTCATGAGAAGGTGATAGTCAATGCACCCGGTGAGTTCCTAGAAAAGGCGAATGTGAGAGTGCTTCTAGAAGAGAATGTCTGAAAGGAATGTTTATCTGAAGATAGTGGCACAACTATTGGTGCGAAGAAGTTTGATAATAACTTTTCCAAGAAGAGAACTAGAAGTAGAAACAATCAGTGTCATAATCAACATGTTCCTTCTGTCATCCCTGTGTTCAATTTACCTCTTGCTGCTCCAGTTTATCAACAAAATCAACAAGTTCCTGGTCAAAAGAAAGCTCAGTTTGATCAAATTCCAATGACTTATACAAAGTTGTTCCCTATCCTAATGTAGAGGAATTTGGTTCAGACTCGACCTCCACTGAAGATTCCTGAGAAGATACCTTGGTACTAAAAAGCTGATTTGACTTGTGCTTTTCATCAGGGAGCCCCTGGGCATAGTATTGAACAATGTTATCCATTGAACGCTGAAGTTCAGAAATTGGTCAGAAGTGGTATCTTATCACTTAAAGATATTTGTCTCGAAGTTCAAGCCAAGTCTTTTCCGAAGAATAAACGTGATTGAAGAATGCCCTGGATTTCAAGGATGATTAGCTTTCTCATGTTTACTAGCAATTTTACTGATATCTCATTTGTAATTCTTCTTGTTAATCATTGTACTGTTTACATGTAGGAACTTGTTTACATTTGAATGATTATCTTAATAAAATAAATATGTTTGTCTTGAAGAAATCCATTCGTTTCACTCGTATTTATTTTTAATTTTAAATTGCTTTTTGAGTTATGATACCAAATTGTTATCCATTCTCTTGCCTAGGCATGGTTTGGGGGGAGGATGATGAATTTAAAATGAAAAATTTCTGGTTGTATGCTTTTGAATAAAAACCTGTTGATGATGTATAGGCATTGTTTCAAATTCCCAAACATCGGAGATATAAGGGAGTGAAACCCTCGTTAACCCCTTTGAGCCTTGAAGTAGGAGTTTCTTTTCTATTCGGAAAAAAAACCTCATTTTAACCTGGGGCAGGGTAGTGTTCAATTAATTTGATCGAGTGTTCGGAACTCATCAGAAATGCGCATCTAAGGATACAACAATGGTTATCCTTCAAAAGGTTGATGAAACTCAAAATTGTAATGGCTAACCTTCATTAATCATGAGTGTGCGTCAATTGACGACCCCAATGAGTATCTCTCGCACATCAGGAAGTCATTAGACGATGATACAACAATGGTTATCCCTATCTTCCAAGAAATAGGGCAGTCACAATTCTTCCAACAAGTTGGAAATGACTCAACATCACACGACATGTTCAAAAAGAAAGAAAAGGTAATATAAAAATAAATGAAAAAATGAAATGAATAAGAAGTGATTAAAGAAAAAGACAAAAAGCCCCGCTAAGTCGAAACTTGGAAAAAGCTCGCTTAGGCAAAAGTCAGGGCATTCCGCTGGGCTTCATAATCAAATTCAAAAAGAATTTGTCCAGGAAAAAGTTAGGGAAAATGATGGGAAGCCTAAAAGGCGAAAAATGATTAAAAAATGGATGTCCTTAGCAAAGAAATATGTTGCGTGATCAGACAATGAAAGTAAAGATAAGTGATTGTCGTATCCAAAGAAAACCTTGGTTGTTTCCTCAACTATCTCAACATTTCTTTTGAGAGATGAATGTTTAGGTAGAGTTAACTGAACTTAGGACTGGAGAACATCATGAAAGGGGTGGGCACCAAATAATTTTGAGCCTTAAAATCCTTTTTTTCTAAAACCGCGAACCAGGCCATGTTACAACCCTCAAAAGTCCTAATTGAAACAAGGTTTATTTCGAAAGCATACTTCAACGAGATAACATTTTCTGACTCTCATGAATTTTACTAAAATTTTTGTGTTGGTATCATATGCTTTTGTTATCTTTGATAAAAATAAAAAATCAATTTTTCTTCCTGGCTAGTGATTCATTCCTAAGGTTTTATGAAATATCTTCAATAAAATCTTCAAGACTTACATAACTGTTGCATTAGAATCATCATTCTTAGAATAAATATTGTTCTGCTTGTAAAA